AGTTTTTCCATTTCTGCATCCATTCAGCTGATCTCTGGGTCTGGCTGGCCGGACTAATTTTAGCTTTGCTTAGCGTAAATCATTGAATCGGATTAGACCATTAGCATCTGTGAAAATATAGTTCCTATAATAGCATATCAGGCTGGAAAATAGCAACTTGTCATTTTTCGTTGGTCTTATACATGTTGTAACCATAAAAGAGTCAAGCTTAAAATAGGAAAACTATCAATACTTTTTTAAAATGAAATGCTAATGGTCTGATCTGATTCAATGATCTATACTATGCTAAAATTGTTCCCTCCAGACCTGGAGATCAGCTAAATGTATGCATTAATGATGAAACTCACCTGTTTAACTTTAGGAGCGTGTGGATTTAACCTACAGCGGTGTGAAAAGGTGTTTGCCCCCTTCCTGATTTGTTTTTTTTTTTTAATTTTGTTTGTCTGAATTTAATGTTTCAGATCATCAAACCAATTTAAATGTGTCATCTTTGAGAACACAAGTAAACATGTCATGCAGTTTTTAAATGGAGGCTTTTATTATTAAACCAAAACTACAGTAAGGGAAAATCTTTTCTGATTTTGATTATACCTGACAAAAGTCTTGAGCAACAAATAATAACTCGACTTCTTAAAAGTGTCAGAAGGGGGATTTCTCTGAATCATCTGCTGATCTGCATCCCAATCCTCACCAAAACTCCAGAAGACCTACTGGAACCAGCATGGAGACCAAGATCCTCACAGAAATCAGTCAAGTTTGGTGAAGGAGACATCATGGTTTGGGGTTCATTCAGTATGTTGGCGTGCGAGAGATCTGCAGAGTGGATGATCAACATCAACAGCCTGAGGTATCAAGACATCTGTGCTGCCCATTACATTACAAACCACAGGAGAGGGACAATTCTCCAGCAGGATAGCGCTCCTGCTCATACTTCAGCCTCCACATCAAAGCTCCTGAAAGCAGAGAGTGCTCCAGGATTGGCCAGCCCAGTCACCAGACATCAACATTATTGAGCATGTCTGGGGTAAGATGAAGGAGGTGTTGAAGATGAATCTTGATGAGCTCTGGGATCCTGCTGAAGGCTTTCTTCTTCATTCCAGATGACTTTATTAATCAGTGATGTGAGTCATGTCAGAGATGTATGGATGCAGTCCTCCAAGCTCATGATGGAGTCAGACACAATATTCATTCTGTCTCCACTGCAGCAGGACTTTATATTCTATACTGGACATTATTTCTGTTCAGTGATGACACTTTAGTCTGAGCAGAGTCAGACCGCACTGTCCTCATCAAATCAGTCAACATCAAGACATGATCAGATTTATTGAGCTCAAATAAGCAAAATCTAGAGGCCTTCACCTTTCATAGAGACACTTCTGACACCAAATCACCAACTAGAAGACCAGTTAGTATTTGCTGTTTGTTCTGTCAGCTAGTGTAATGCAATAATATGCACCTTTTGTAAAGCTGATTTGAAACATTATTATTGTATAAATAAACTTGAGTTGACGTAAAGGGGCAAACACGTCTTCACACCACTGTATCTCCAAATATAGTGGATTGTTGCTCTTAATGCGCTTATAAACGTGTCTTGTGCTGGTTTCTGCTTTGGCTGGTGTATATGGCGGTCTCCTGTGGTCTGTCCTCATCTTCTCTCTCATTTCCGCTTCTGTCTTATCAGTGTTTTCTCTGCGTCTGAAACCAACGCCACATCGACCCGCTCCAGAGACAAGGAGGAGAGAACCACTGATAAAACACAGACGGGTACAAACACAGACACAACACACTCACCACCAGTCAAGAGTTATTGATAATGCTCAGAGATATGTCCTGATCATCAAATCATCTTATTGCAGTGATTTCTGAAGGATCATGTTACTTTATAAAGACAGTTGTTCAGCACAGATATTAATTGCAGTTTATTATATGTGACAAAACCTTATTTTGTACAAGTATAGTGTTGGCATTAATCAAGCATATACTGTAGTGTACGAGTCAAAATTGTGTATATTTTTGTCTAAAAATTGTTTTGATTTTAAGCAAACACTAGATTTGTACAAGTACCCTAAACTTTATTGTCCCCTTTCGGGGGTGATTTGTTCTGCTGAGTAGTAGACTTACAGCACACTTAAGATCAGTGTTGGGCATGTTCCTCGAAGCTGCAGTAGGTGACGGTCTTCAGAAACATGTGTTGTTGTGCTGGTTGAACGTCTCTTCACATTCCTATAGTACTGATTAAAGTAAATGATCTGAATGTGTTTATCTATATTTTTATGTTCTGGGTGATGCATAAAACAATAAAATGTTCATCCATTCATTCATTTTCTGCTGCTTTTCCGGGGCCGGGTCGCGGGGGTAGCAGTCTTAGAAGAGAACCCCAGACTTCCCTTTCCCCAGACACTTCCTCCAGCTCCTCCAGGGGGATCCCGAGGGGTTCCCAGGCCAGCGAGAGACATAGTCCCTCCAGCTTGTCCTGGGTCTTCCCCGAGGCCTCCTCCTGGTGGGACATGCCTGGAACACCTCCCTAGGCAGGCGTCCAGGAGGCATCCGAAACCAGGGGCGGACTGGCCATCTGGCAATTCTGGCAAATGCCAGAAGGGCCGGACCATTTTTTAAATGTGGGCCGGTCAGCTATTTTTTTTTTTTCATATGTATTGTTTTTTTAAATGTAGGCAGCTTTTATCTTGTGCGAGATGTGAATATTATGATTATGATGGTGATAATAGTAAGAATAATAGTAAATGTTAAGCCTTGCCCCAATCAGCAACAACCGGCTGGTTTCGAGATGGGCTGACCCAATCTGAGGTTACGCAGACATAATCAAAATTTGGCAAGAATGTCAAACAAACAGTGAGTGCAACACACGCTAATTGTCAGAGATGGACCATAAAAAGGGAAAGGCAATCAAATCAGACATTGCCAATTACATAAAATTAACTGAACTAGTCTCGAAAGGGGGCAGTGCAGTGGCGCATTAGGTAGGTAGTGCTGTAGTCTCACAGCAAGAAAGTCGCTGGTTTGAGCCTCATCTGGGTCAGTTGGTGTTTCTGTGTGGAGTTCGCATGGATTTCCTTCTGGTTTCCTTCACAAGGCCAAACACATGCTATAGGTGAATTGGGTAGGCCAATTGGGAATTGGGTAACCCAGTAATGGGTTGCAGCTTTGAGGGCATCCACTGTATAAAACATATGCAGGATAAGTTGGCGATTCCCAGATTAATAAAGGGACTAAGCTGAAAAGAAAATGAATGACATGATTGCATATATTAATGGGTTGTTTTTGTTTCAGTCACATACATTAAATGTTTAAATATCTCTTAAATAGGTATTGCTTATATAATTTTACCATCTGTACACCAATTTAAGTAGTGAATGTGGGTGTCCTTGGGTGGGGCTGTGTCGGTGTGGTAATGTGGGCTGGTGTGGCTACAATGCCAGGGCTGATTTTTAGTCCCAGTCCGCCCTTGTCCGAAACAGATGCCCGAGACACCTCAGCTGACTTCTCTGGATGTGGAGGAGCAGCGACTCTCCTCTGAGCTCCTCCCGGGTGTCAGAGCTCCTCACCCTGTCTATAAGAGTGCGCCCTGCCACCCTGCGAAGGAAACTCATTTCGGCCGCTTGTATCCGAGATCTTGTTGTTTTGGTCATGACCCAAAGCTCATGACCATAGGTGAGAGGAGGAGCGTAGACTGACTGGTAAATCGAGAGCTTTGCCTTTCGGCTCAGCGCCTTCTTCACCACAACAGACCGATACATCGACCGCATTTCTGCTGACGCTCCACCAATCCGCCTGTCATTTTCCAGGATGAAAAAAATGTTCATTCAATTACAAATTGTTGGGCTGATAAATAACTCAATTACGACAGGCATCTCATACTGTCTGTCAACAAATTTAAATGTGAATTTCTGCGCAGCCTCTTTAAGCGGACAGATACAGTCACTCGCACGCACACATGAAGCACGCATCTACCGCTGACAGAGAGATGTCATCAGCAAACCTGAACTTCTTTCTGAAAGAGCAACGTGGCCTTCTCTCCATGAAAAGAAAGATTGCATCTGAAAGGGCTTCTGCCAAAAACGCAGAATCAAAACTTTTCTAAACCCTGAATCGATATTAGAGTTACTTCTGCACGCTGGAGGGAAATGACGCTATGCTGATCAAAACATCGATCTGAAGGGTGACACCACGGCCGAAGTATTACATTTAGACGGGTCTGTTTTAAAACTATTTTAGCCACGTAAAAATAGTGGTTTCGCGTCGTCCGCCTCAGTTTCGGCCCTTGTTTTGACTCGGGAGGCGTGTCCAAACGCCAGGTAACCCCTATATAGTGAGCACGCTAGCATTAGTCGGCAGGAGAAGCACTTTAGCAGCATCTAGACCAGCAGCCTGTAAGTACATTTAAGATTTGTTTCAGTTGTTGTGTATGGTCACTTCAACAACTCACTTCTGCAGATGTATGTGCCCTCCAGAAACTTGCGTTCTGTGAATGAACGTCGCCTCGTGGTTCCATCCCAAAGAGGGAAAAAATCACTTTCGCGAACGCTCACGCTCAATCTGCCCAGTTGGTGGAATGAACTCCCTAACTGCATCAGAACAGCAGAGTCACTCGCTATTTTCAAGAAACGACTAAAAACTCAACTATTTAGTCTCCACTTCACTTCCTAATCTGCAATTGCCTCTTTCAATATCACACTAACTGTACAAAAAAAAAAAAAAAAAAAAAACCTACTAATACTTCCCTTCTTAGACTTTACTGACCTGAAACTTGCCTTTAGCACTTATTCATTGTTGCTCTTAGTTGTGTAAATTGCTTCCTTGTCCTCATTTGTAAGTCGCTTTGGATAAAAGCGTCTGCTAAATGACTAAATGTAAAATGTAAAATGTAAATGTAAAGCTGATGTAGACTGTGTTCTTGTTTATGAATGGGTTTATATGCATGGTGGTGTTGTTGAGCCACTGGGGGACTTTGGGGGAAACCGGAGCACCCGGAGGAAACCCAACCGAAGGCAGGGAGAACATGCAAACTCCACACAGAAACACCAACTGACCCAGCCGAGGCTCGAACCAGCGACCCAGCGACCTTCTTGCTGTGAGGCGACAGCACTACCTGCTGCGCCACTGCGTCGCCAAAAATTATAATAATATTTTACAATTTGTGCTTCTTTACTGTGTTAAATAAATCCAGACGTTTCTAAATGAGCAGACATTTGTAAACATGAGTGTGTTTGAGTTCAGATCAAACCTCCAGCTGAGTTTTACTCTTGTTTTACCATAAAACATCACTGTTGGGCAGCTTGTCCTAACACTGTCAAACACTGTTTATCGCCGAGAGTTTATATTGATATGTGGCCTGAAGATGATGTTTGACAGATCAAACCTGACATCTGAGAGGCTTTAAGAGCTGAAATATTGATCAGATTTCTCCGTCTTTAGCACGTCTGCTGGCCTCATCAAAACTCCTGGAAGGAAAATATGATCCAAAAGCCTTTCAGTGGGGCTTTAATAGATTTACAATGTTTAAAATGCTGTTTGATCCAATTTATGGACATAAAAAGTCTTAAATGTCTTGAAATGAAAGAAATGTTGAGGTTAGAGCTGAAAAACAGAATTCACACTTCAGATTAACGTGATCAATGCACTTTCTAAAATGTTTATTTATTAAATTGCTTCATGTTTAATTATATTAATTTAAATTGCTTAATAGCATGCAGTGCAGTCTAAGGATAAAGTTATTCACTTTAACAGGTCTGAAAGTCATAAATTATATAAAAGCAAATATGATTTCCTAATTAAAAGCTCTACACACATAGACATTTAAATTGATGCAAAATTTTACTTATGATAAATGTAACCTACATTGGAGATCTACAGTGACATTTTAGTGCCATGTACAAAAAAAAAGTTAAGTTACGCAAATAAAGTTGTAATAATTTAAGAATAAAATCAAAATCTTGGAAAGAAAATCGAAATGTTACAAAAATAAAGAGAGTAAGTCAAAATGTTATGAAAATAAAATCGAAATGTTATGAAGTCAAAATGTTATGGGAATAAAATTTAAATGTTATTAAGTCCAAATGTCAGAAAAATTCATTTGAAATGTTACGAGAATAAAGTCGAAATGTTACGAAAATAAAGTTAAAATGTTACGAGAATAAAATCACAATTTTACAAAGATGAAATGTTTTGAGAGAAGTCGAAATGTTACGAGAATGAAGTCATAATGTTTGAGAATAAAGTCTAATTTTACGAAGTCAATGTTTCGAGAATAAAGTTGAAATTTTACATTGTCACAATGTTTCGAAAATAAAGTCGAAATGTTACGAAAATAAAGCCGAAATGTTATGAGAATAGTCAATATGTTATGAGAATAAAGTCGAAATGTTTTGAGAATAAAGTCAAAATTTTATAATGTTGATATGTTACGAGAATAAAGTCTAAATCTTGAAAAGAAAATCGAAATGTTACAAAAATAGCGAATAAGTCAAAATGTTTAGAGAACAAAATCGAAATGTCATGAAGACGAAATGTTATGAGAATAAAATTGAAATGTTAAGACAAAATGTTATGAGAATGATTCAAAATGTTACAATGTTTTTTTAATGTTACGAAAATGAAGGCAAAATGTTAAGAGAATAGTCAAAAAGTTATGAACTTGAATTGTTTCGAAAATAAAGTCTACGTTTTACAAAGTCGAAATGTAACGAGAATAGTCATAATTTTACAAAGACAAAATGTTTTGACAATAGTCTAAATGTTACGAGAAGTAAGTCAATGTTTCGAGAATAAAGTCTAAATTTTACAGTCAAAATGTTACAAAAATAAAGTTTTAATTTTACTAGAATAAAGTAAAAAAGTTACAAACTCAAAATGCTTTTGAGAATAAAGTCAACATTTTATGAAGTCAAAATGTTTTGAGAAGTCAATGTTGCAAGAATAAAGTTGAAATGTTTTGAAAATAAAGTCGAAATTTTACAAAGTCGAAATTTTACAACAATAAAGTCGAAGTGTTACGAGAATAAATTTGAAATGTTTTAAGAATAAAGTCAAAATATATTGTCAAAATGTCACAAAAGAATAAAGTCGAAATATTACAAAGTCAAAATGTTATGAAAATAAAGACGAAATGTTTCGGGAATAAAGTCGAAATTTTACAAAGTAGAAATGTTACGAGAATAAAGACGATATGTTATGCAAATAGACAAAATATTTCAAGAAGAAAGTCAAAATGTTGCGAGAATAAAGATGAAAAGTTACGAGAATAAAGTTAAAATGTTTCGCGAATAAAGTCACAATGTATGTGACTCGCAGATTCACTCTGTGAACACAACAATAAGTTTAATGCATGACTTATACTGTAGTGATTTTGAGCGTGTGTATTTGTGATGTGTGTGTTCTGCAGATGTGTCTGAGTGTGTGGTGATCCTCGCTGACCGCACACTGCTGGAGTTCCCATTAGAAGCACTGAGTGTGTTTCAGATGAACGGCGTCAGCTCCGTATCCAGAGATTTCTCGCTGCAGATTCTCCATTCACGTCTGCACTCAGAGGACAGCGGTGAGATCACGCTCATTAATACTGCTTAACTGCTGAATATACAACTGAAAACAAACTTATTCTGTTTAATTTTTATTACAAACATTTCCCAAGTGCTGTTTAACAGAACCAGAAACATTTCTCTCTATATTTGTAATAATTTTTTCTATTAGGGAAAGTCTTATATTGACAGATGTTTTAGTGTTCTATGTGTAATGTTATTTTACCTTATTATTATTATTATTATTATTATTATTATTATTATTATTATTATTATTATTATTGTTGTTGTTATTATTATTATTATTGTTATTTTTATTATCATTATTATTAATATTATTAATATAATTATTACTATTATTATTTTTATTATTATTATTATTAATATTAATATTATTATTACTATTGTTATTATTATTATTATTAGGCTGGNTTGTGTAGCAAGCCAGACTACTGTTATCCTATTAAACTTATTATTATGGTGGCTTGAAAAGCCAACATACTGTTATCTCACGTAAACTTATTATTATTCTTCTTCTTCTTCTTATTCTTCTGAGACTAATTTTAAATTGTATCTCCTCCTAAACTTTTCAAGCTTCATACTTCAAACTTTCGTCAAACCTTCAAACTGGTCTGACTCGGGTTGCTATATCCTTTCCGACTGATCCGACTTTCGGTTTTCCGAAAAACGACCCGGAAAATTCCCAAAATTCCCATTGACTTAACATTGGGTCAAACTTTGTGACCTCATAACTCTGAATCAGACTGTCCTACAGACTTCTAACTGGGCTCATTTAACTCAGTCTAGCCAGCAGCCAATAACTGATGACCTTTTAACTTACTAGCCACTCCCTAGCAACCACTTTTGGCACCCTAGCAACTGTCCCATAGACTTCCATTGTAAAAGACTGCCATTGACTTAACATTGAGTCAACCTTTGTGAGCTCATAACTCTGCATCAGTCTGTCCTACAGACTAGAGTCAGGCCTCATTCAACTCAGTAGCCAATCACTGATGACCTTTAGACTTACTAGCCACTCCCTAGCAACCACTTATGGCACCCTAGCAACTGTCCCGTAGACTTCCATTGTAAAAGACTCTCATTGACTTAACATGGGATCAAACTTTGTGAGCTCATAACTCTGTATCAGACTGTCATACAGACTAATGGCTGAGCTCATTTAACTCAGACTACCAAACTGCCAATAAATGATTAGCTTTTAACTTTCTAGCCACACCCCTAACTACCACATACTGCACCCTAGCAACTGTCCCGTAGACTTCCATTACAAAAGACTCTCATTGACTTAACATTGGATCAAACTTTTTGAGCTCATAACTCTGCATCAGACTGTCATACAGACTAATGGCTGAGCTCATTTAACTCAGACTACCAAACTGCCAATAACTGATGAGCTTTTAACTTTCTAGCCACACCCCTAACTACCACATACTGCACCCTAGCAACTGTCCCGTAGACTTCCATTAAAATAGGCCAAGATACATATCTTTGCAAAGCAGTGTCATAGAGACATGGGGGTTGGTTCTTTGACTAAGACAACCAACCACATTCAAGTTCACTCTGTAACCTCGCCCATAGCAACAAAACAGAATACCCTAGCAACCATTCATCAACAGCTATATCTCAGCATCAGAACATCGTAGAGACTTGGAGATTGGCTCGTTTGACTCATGCTAGCAAACGGAACTTCCTATATGCTACACATGCTAGCAGTGACTAGCTACATGCTAATATTGACTAGCCAAGTACTGTAACTTGCTAGAAATGCTTACTAAGTATAAATGTTTTATCAAGCATGTATGTGAGGCTTGCCTAGTAACCAACCAGGGTACCCTAGCAACTGCCTAGCAACCACCCAAATTACCCTAGCAACCGCCTAGCAACCACCTAGCAATGGCCTAGTAATGCCTTAGTAAGGGCCTAGCGACCACTCAGGACACCCTAGCAACCGCCTAGCAACGCCTTAGCAACTATTCAGAATACCTTAGCAACCACTTAGCAACACCTTAGCAACCACCTAGCAACCACTTGGGACACCTTAGCAACCGCCTAGTAAAATGCTAATTCATGCTAGAATCATGCTAACAACATGCTAATTCAAGCTAGAATCATGCTAGTAACATGCTAATTCATGCTAGAATCATGCTAACAACATGCTAATTCATGTAAGAATCATGCTACTAACATGCTAATTCATGTTAGTAATATGTTAATTCAAGCTAAAATCATACTAACATTCTATTTACACTTTAAAACCACTTCAAACTTTCAGATTCGGCTTTTCAAGCCACCATAAAGTTTGTCCTCAAACTTTAATATCTAGTTAGGCTGGCTTGTGTAGCAAGCCAGACTACTGTTATCCTATTAAACTTATTATTATTTTTCTATATTATTCTTCTTCTGAGACTAAAAATTAAACTCTATCTCCTCCTAGGCCATTAAAGCTATGACCATCAAACTTGGGTCAGACCTCCGAACTATTCTGACTCGAGTTGCTATATCTTTTCCGACTGATCCGACTTTCGGTTTTCCGAAAAACGTCTCGGGACCGTCGGAAAAATCCCATAGACGTAACATTGGATCAAACTTTGTGACCTCATAACTCCGCATCAGACTATCACACAGACTTCTAACTGGGCTCATTTAACTCAGACTATCAAACTGCCGATGACTGATCACCTTTAAACTTTCTGGCCACGCCCTAGCAACCACTTTTGGACCCTAGAAACCGTCCCATAGACTTCCATTGCAAAAGACTCTCATTGACTTTACATGGGATCAAACTTTGTGAGCTCATAACTCTGCATCAAACTGTCCTACAGACTAATGGCTGAGCTCATTTAACTCAGTCTAGCCAGCAGCCAATCACTGATGGCCTTTTAACTTTCTAGCCACACCCTAACAACCAGATACTGCACCCTAGCAACTGTCCCATAGACTGCCATTAAAGAGGTTCAGACTGATATTGTCATGCTGCAGTGTGATAGAGACATGGGGGTTGTTTTTAACTGTTCATACTGGCAAGAAGCTTTGATACATCATCAGTCTAAGCTGTCAATCAACTCCATAGCAACAAAACAGACTAACCTAGCAACGATATAACAGCAGCTATATCTCAGCATCAGAACATCGTAGAGA